GGAGGAGGGGGGGGTAACCAAATTTTAAAGGCAAATTTGTTTTCTGCCTGAACGACCGCGTTCCGACACCCGTGTTTGCCGTGTTGGGAGACCAGCCTGTGGAACACGCACGGGGATAAGCACCTGTGCACGGTGGCCCCAGTGAGGCCCGTTTGCATAAACGGGACAGTCGCTCAACTCATCCAACAGAAAGGTCCTTGAGCACTTGCTGGCAGAGCCTCTCTGTGTGGCTCTCGTGACACAAAAAGAAACTATGACAGCCACTGCCCTCCAGGAGAACCCGGTGACAGGAGCAGCAGGCGTCAGCAACACCAGCAGCCGTCAAGGCTGCGGGTCCGACATGGAAGGGAAGCTGCGGCCTGCCGCCCCTCAGAGGGCACCGAGGCCAGTCTGGCAGAGGCAGGAAGACTCTCTAGAAGGGGTGACGGCCACGTGAGGTCTGGGGGCTGAGGCGGTGACTGAGAAAGGGTGGGGTGTCCCCAAGGAGGACTTTGTCGGGGACGTTTGCCCAGGCCCCTTCCTGAGGCTTGGGCGCAGCGGCTCGGCCCCCTGCTGGGTGGACGTGAACAGCCGGCAGACCTGACCGCGACGGGGAGCCCGGAGTCCATCCCTGGAGACTGGATCAGGCCTTTACGCTCAGGGAGAACCGCAGACGAGTGTTAACTCAGACCGCGGCTCCAGGCCCAGGGATGCGGGGGAGCCGCGGCCAGGCTGAGATCTGGGATCGGGGGCCAGGAAGCCGAGAGGGCGGCAGCTGCTGCGGCTGCCGACGCGTGTCCGGTCCAGGGGCGCGCTCACGACCGGGCGGGAACCCTGGGTGCTTGCGGCCATCTTGGCCACCCCGTCGGGGCCTGAGAGCATGGCCAGCCCAATGGAAGCGGCAGGACAGGGCAGCAGCGGGCGGCTCCTCCAGCGTGGTCGGGGCGCAGTGGCTCGTGAAGTCACCTCCGTGTGCCTCACGCCCTTGGCTGGAGCCAGCGTGCCTGCTGGACGCGGCTGTCACAGATGAGTGACGCGCACACAGTCTGATCCGGGGCCGGCTGAGTGGCCGGGTCAGAGGGTGGGCGAGCGGGTGGGCAGGTGGTCCCTTGTCAGGGTCAGAGGCCCGGTCGTCACACAGCTCCTGTCCTCTGAGGGAGAAGGGACCACACCGATGACAGCGCTGTTACTACCCTCGAGTGCCAGGCAGGCTGGGGGACAAGGGTGTCAGGGTGCGGGCTGCCCGCAGTCCCCGAGCTGCCATCAGACACACGGCCACCCTGGCTGGAGCTGGGGCCCCTTCGTGGGGGGCTCTCCGGGGGGAGCCGTGACGGCAGAGCCCACGCCCTCCTTCCGGAGGACCCCTGCTTTCACCGCGAACTCCCGGCACCCCGGTGCCTCACAGCGGGGTCAGCGCTCGCCGGAGGAGGCAGTGCCCACGAGGCCGCGGGTGGAGCAGTGGGCAGGGGACCGACGCCGCCACGCGCCCGGCCGCTGCGGGCGTAACCGGACAGAGGACCCAACGGGGCCCACGGGGACGGGCTCTCAGATGTCGAGGCTGACCCTGAGCCTTCGCGCCTGCTGCAGGCCCGAGTTTGCATCGCAGTGGCGAGGACACCAGGCCCGGCCTCTCCCCCTGTCCTGATCCCTTGGCACCGGGCCCCCTGCTGTGCTTTTCTGGGCCAGTGCTCTGCACAGGGAGGTGACTGCTCCTCGTCCCTCACCGACAAACCACGCAAGAGCACACCCACGTGTCACCAGATGCTCTCAGGATGTTTCATCCTGTAGTGGCCCCCAGGCCACAGGGCGGAAAGCACCAGGGGCCGACCACACGTCATGTCTTCTTCCCGACTGTCCTTGGGGTCCCGGAAGTTTTATTCACGGTTACAGATCAGGCTTAAAACGCGCCTGCCTGGGGTCGGTGTAGGACATCAAGTCCCAGGCCTGCGCCCACTGCCTTTAGAGAGACCCAGGCCAGCCGAGCACAGAGACTTGGTCCCTGCTCATGGTTTTGCCTAAAGCAGCCGAAGAATGTATGCAGCTGATAAATTCCCCTGCTGCCCCAACCCAAAGCCGGAGGCCGAAGCCAAAGAATTCAGTGATTCTTCCCTTGTCCCGAGGCAACGCTTATCTTATCAGATCACCAGCCCAGGACCTGCTCTCTGGGTCCAAAGGTCACAGTCACTGGGATGGGAGTGGGGCCTGAGCACCGGGACGGGGTGTCAAAGCCACCGCTCACTGGGGAGGGGGGGTGGGGGATTGGGAGGACACGGGCTGCACAGCGAGAAACCCCGTTCCTGCTCGGAGGCCAGGGCGGGGGGGGGGGCGGGGCGCACGCACCTGCAGGCTCTGCAGGCCTCCATAGGCCAGGTGGGGGGTGGGCGGGGCGCACGCACCTGCAGGCTCTGCAGGCCTCCGTAGGCCGTGAAGAGGAGCAGGAAGCCCAGGGACACCACGAGCACGTTCCTCAGCGTCCTCTCCATCGCCGACCGTCAGGGGACACGCGGCTCCCGGCTCCCTGCAAGACGGCGGCCGGGCCCAGGGGTCAGTGTGCCAGGGAACTCTCTCCCCCCCGAGTGACAGGTGTCACCCGCCCTGTCACCGACACCTCGGAGCGGCACGGCACTGTCTAAGTTCGCTGCGGTGGGTGGTAACCAGCGCCCAGCAGGGCAAAAGCTTAGGCCTCTCGTCAGCTCGTGGCGCCTGTGCTTCCCGGTTAACTCCTGCCGCCTGTGGTCCTTACAGTGCGGAGCTGGTGTCACATCAGGGGACGTAACTGTGCATTCTGTACTGTTATGCTTTGCACCATTATGTGTCTATAATGATACCTTCCGGATTAAGAGAAATCGTCAACGGCACAGAACGTGAAACGAACTTAGGTCTTAAAGAAGCACAAATGTCAGCTTCGAGACGGACACTTTGGCTTCTGAACAAAAGCTGACACGATCGCACGCACTGAGGGCCAGCGGGACGGGGTGGCTCGCACCGTCAGGGCCCGAGACCCACTCCCGGGTGGGTCGGAAGGGCGCAGAGGCCCTGCCTCTCGGGCCTGGCATTGTGCCCGGAGGACCCCCCCACACTGCCCCTGCCTCGGCCGCCAGGCGCGTGGCGAGGGCGACTGAGGAACCGAAGTTGTGACTGCATTTAATTTTCATGAATCACAATCTAAATTTAAAGAGCTCCGTGTGGCCAGCGGCTACTGTGCGTCGCCGGCCGGCCTGGAGTTTTCTAATAAGCAAGGAAAAGCGTCTGTTTTAGCCGATTGCTAGGAAAGCACGATGTTTGAAGACCGTTTCCAGACTCCGTGAAGTCAGTTACTCTTGTCTGGTCTGGGTCAGTAAGGCAAGCCGACAGCGCTGGCGTGTGTCCCACGTGGCGGGGACGCTGCTCAGGCAGGCAGGCCACCCCCTTCCAGAGCAGCTTACCTTATTCCAATGAAAACACGACTTTTAGGAAAATAATGCTTTTGAGTACTGACCAAGCACAGATTATCACGCATATACAGACAGGCGAGCGACATAGTCTGGGAGGAGGGGTGTTGACCACGAGGACACGTGACCTTTACAGGGTCAAACCCTCATCCCGTGGCTTCTTTGCTGGGCAGTCTCAGCCGGATCAGAAAACTCCCCAAACCTGTTTCCTCTTGAAAAAGGAGGGCGGCAAAAGTCCAATAATGCGAGGCCGATGGAACAGCCCTGCCGTGCAGCGATGACGCCACCGGCTAAGGTGACGTTTTAACTCCCCCGGGAAACGCCCATTGGAACAATATCAAAGGACACGTAACACATGGCATAATGTGGACTGGTCCATACCCATCTTGCTGTCGATGAACGAATCCTTTTTGTTTCCGGTGCGATTCAGTCCACTGCATTTCACTTCATTCAGTTCCAGCCTTTCTGCAACCACCCACCAATGACGCGGTTTCGATGCGAGGAGACCCTCCTGAGTGGCCTGGGGCTGGCCAGCTGGCTCTGGGGAGTGACCCGGCATCCGCGTTTGTGTCCCAAGGGCCTCCGGGCTGCACGAAGACACCCCGGGTCTGTTTCTGCCTGTGCAGGTCGGTCCCTCCCCTGTCCCGCCCCTGTCCCTCCCCTGTCCTTCCCCTGTCCCTCCCCTGTCCCTCCCCTGTCCCGCCCCTGCCCCCGCCCCCAGTCCCTCTTCCAGTCAGGAGTTAGTCACCGAAATAATCGCTTCAGCCTCCCTCCTGGTTCTGGATTTTTATTTATTTATTTTTAAGGTGTTTTTTTTTTTTTTTAAATTCCCATCCCCTACCCCCCTCCCTTTTGGCAACCATCAGCTTGTTCTCAGATCCAAGGGCCTGTTTTCCACTTCGGTTTGCTTATTCGTTTGTGTCGATGTTCAGACTCCGCATGAAGTGAGGTCATGTGGCATCTGTCTCTCTGGCTGACTCACTTCGCTGAGCACAGCGCCCTCTAGGTCCCCCCCACGTAGTCGCGCATGGTAAGATTTCGTTTTTTTCACAGCTGAGTAATGTTCCACTGCACACATGTGCCGCCTCGTCCTCGTCCAGCGTCTACCGCTGGACGCCCGGCTGCCCCCGCCTCTTGGCTGCTGTCCATAGCGCCGCGGTGAACCCGGGGTGCGGGTAGCCTTTCGAGTTAGTGTTTCTGCTCTCTTGGGAAAACCAGCTCCCCTCTTGAATAACGCGAACCCCTCTGAAGGGATTTTTAAGAGACAGATATTTGACAACCGGCCTCGGCTCTCTAGCGGGACAAAATGCTTCTTAAAAGAGATGGCCATCGGCCCCTGCCCCGTCCTCTTTCTACCCTACTGCGTGACAAGGTCCGGAGATGGGGACAGAGGCTTCGAGGAATGCATCGTCAAGAACGAGGACGTGGCATGTGTTTAGGGATAATTGGTTTCTTAGGAACAATCCTATTAATGGGGGAATTTAGGTAGCGCAAATTCTAGTAAGTGTAAACGCTGTACAAGTGGATTTCCTCAAAATTGGCTCTGAGGAAAACATAGTAAATTCCCCGCGTATGGAATCAGCTCCAGTCACCCTGACGTAAACCCTTTATTTGAACAATTATTAAGGGAAATTCCTTTTGACGCGCCTCTTAAAGATATTACGAATAAATTATAACAAGCTGAATTACTAGAACCAGTTTATACTCCTGTTCCCACGCAGTTAGTAGAAAAATTAGTAAAGGATAAGAAATTTACTCATAAGCCTGTGCCTACTATGGAAGGGCCTCCTTTTGTGGCCTACTAGATAAATGGAAAACTCTGGTATCCACCTAGAGGGGCTAATAGTATGAAAAGATTACCTGATCTTCCTTTGCCTTATACAGGAGCTTATAATAAAGATAGTATACATATAGTGAATAAAGATAGAATTCATGTGCCTTATTGTAGTTTAAGTTTCATAGAAAGGCTGGCTAGGTCAGGATCTCCTTAGTGCTTAAAAACAAAGGAACAGAAACTTAGCTTATGAAAGCAGCTTTGTAAAACTGATTTTTATAAATATTTTCCTCAATACGGCACCAAAGAAACTTTTGAACAGCTATGAGAAAGGTTCTGCTTGAACTTTAGATATGACATAAATCAAATAGCATTTAAAAGATTTCTTCAGGCAGAAAGAAGAACAATGTCTGCCCACAAGCCAATATTTGCTGTTATGAATACCTCTATCTATCACCTTTACTTAAGTCAAACTGTATCTTACGTAATAGATATAAGAATTAAAAGTTTAGATTGTTCCATCAGGTAGTTCTGTTCTAATGATTGAGAGAAAAATGTACTAGTTGATCATGAACATTAATAATAACATACTCTATAAGATTTTCTGCTTCGCCTAACCACAGAAATTTAACTCCCTGCTACCTTAACAACAAAGTATAATCAAATGCCAAAAGAGAAGGTATAAGTTGTACTCAAATCACAATAAAACGGAACAGCGTCACACCGCCTCTGAGTTGTGTAGTCGACTGTCTCCCGCGCCGACGCCTTGCCCACCTTCGGGGCCCCCTGGATCCTGTCGTGGCTGGACCGCGGCAGGCACCACACCCAAGGCCTTATCGTTTCAAGGACAGTTTTAGATGAGGTCACCAGTGCTCTCCTCATAACCGAACAGGCCCCGACTCAGAAACGTGTCCCCACTGACTCCCACATCTCTCCAGACACGTGCTGGGCGGGGACGGAGCGGGACACTCCGGACACGGACTCCTCTGCGTCTCGGCCCCGTCCACTCAGGGCAAACCTTGCGTGGCTGACGAGACGTGGGTGTAAACGCCTCATGTCACTGCCCCAAACACGCACAGATCCGTCCGAGGTCTCAGGACCACATCCTGGATGCTGGAGTGAGTGAAAAGATGGATTTTTCGAGAACCACAGGACGCTGAACAACGTGAGCGGTTTTCCAGGGCCATCTGGCTACCGCGCGTTCACCGAGGCCCGGGCGGTGTGAGCACTAGCCGCGGGGCCACACGTTCAGCCATGAACTTCCTGCTAAGAAGCGAGAGACTGCTCTTGTTTTAAGGGGAATCTCACCAACAGTTTTCTCTTAAAGAATTAATATTAAGCCAATTAATATTAATTTTCTTGACATTTAAATTGCACACTTTTGTTAATAAAAGCAGCGCCATATGTATTCAAATTCATCCTGTTCACTAGTTATACTTTCAACTACAAAGATGAAAACTGTATACAAAGGGACAGGAACAAATCATTGCCTAAGTTCGGAATAATTACATTTTGGAAATAAACGCGCTTGACGCCTTTTTTTTTTTTTTTTGCCCGTTGGCTCCCGGGCTGAGATGGCGGCTGTGACCATGCACCTGGAGAGGCGGGCCTGCCAAGTCGAGTGGGGTTTCTCCTGGACCCGGCGCCCCCTGGGCCGAGGCCCCGGGCGCGGAGCCGGGAGGAGGGCCGGTGTGTGGCCGAGGCCTTCCTCAGGCGACAGGCGACGCTCAACCGACGGGCCCAGGGGACGAGGCACTTTCGCCCTCACCGGCTCCTGCGTGGTGTCTGCCCTCCAAGCCTCCAGGCTCTGGGTGTCCCCGCCCTCCAGGTCCTGAGCCTCCCTTCGTACCTGGGCCGACTCTGCAGCCAGAACCTGCCATGGGAACCCGCCCGCGGCCTCTGACCGTCCTTCACTTGTCACCGCTTAGCAACGTGGAATGCGTCAGAGAAGATGCTCTTTACTCTCCACTCCCAGACTCAGAGGGGTGAGAGGCTCCTGGTGTAGGACACTTCTGCACGTGCATGCACGCAGACACACACACGGGCACACGGACACACACGGGCACACACGGACACACATGGGCACACACGGGCACACATGGACACACACGGGCACACACGGGCACACATAGGCACACAGGGACACACAAGGCACACACGGTGCACACACGGGCACACACGGGCACACACGGACACACACGGGCACACACGGGCACACATAGGCACACAGGGACACACAAGGCACACACGGTGCACACACGGGCACACACGGGCACAC